TCCTATATTTTCTGGGTTTTTGTCTTCCCCACCACTTCCCATACTTTCCCATATTTTCCGGGGAATCGACGATTAATTGTGTCTGTGTGTTTTTTCCTCTCCTGACACATGCCGACACCGCTGCTCCCAGGACCTCTGCCAGGGCGCGTTCTGGTCAGGACATCGCGGCGAGCCCAGCCGTGGCGGCGAGGTCGGACAGCCAGCAGCACCACCCTCCCCTTCCTCCTCCCCCCTCCTCCCCCATCCTCCCCCTCTTCCTCCTCCTCCTCCCCCTCCTCCTCCTCCTCCTCCTCCTCCTCCTCCTCATCCTCATCCTCTCCTATTCTCTCCCCCATCCTCCCCCTCCCCTCATCCTCCTTCCTCCTCCTCCTCCTCCCCTCCTCCCCTCCTCTCTCCTCCTCCTCCTCATCCTCCCCTCTTTCCTCCTCTCCTCCCCTCCTCCTCCCTCCTCCTCCCCTCCTCCTCCTCCTCCTCCTCCTCCTCCTCCTCCTCCTCCTCCTCCTCCTCCCCCGCGGCCCGTCCCCGTCGCGCAAGGCACCTTTGACCTCGGGCGCATCGCTGTGCTCAGTCCCCGCGGCAGGAGGCCTCCCAAAGGCTCCAAACAGGGCCAACACTTCTAGCAACCTCGATCCCAGAGCCCAGATCCCCGCTCCTTCGAAGCGATCCTCGAACCTAGGTCCTCGCTCCTCGAAGCTCAGTCCTCGAAACTCGAGCCTGCATCCTCGGACTTCTCCAGAAGTGCGCTCGGGCCAGAACTCCGGTGGGAGCCCGGCCATGGCCGCGAGAAGCCTCCTGGAGGCGCAAGGCAAACCAGAGAAAGCTGGCACAGCACACAGATCTCCGAACCCGCCCCCTGGGGAAAACGTCGAGCTTGAATCGGCAATATACCGCCGGTGGATCGTCATCGTCGTCGCCGTCGTCGTCGCCGCCATCGTCGTCGCCGTCGTCGCCGTCGCCGTCGCCGTCGCCGTCGCCGTCGTCGCCGTCGCCGTCGCCGTCGCCGTCGCCGTCGCCGTCGCCGTCGCCGTCGCCGTCGCCGTCGTCGTCGTCGTCGTCGTCGTCGTCGTCGTCGTCGTCGTCGTCGTCGTCGTCGTCGTCGTGACCGTGCAGGGTCGGCGGCAGCGGCCGTCTCGCCTTCGCGAATCCCCTTCCTGCACTCTGACTGAGAGGGGGACGACAACAGGGGGGACTGGATCAGAGGGGAAACGTCGAGAGCGTAAATCGGCGAGACACACATCGCCGATCGATCGTCGACAGGCCCCCGAGGGCGAAGCCGCAGGCTCCTGAGCGGGGTGGGCCATCATGACCCATCGGCGACGACTGGGCGGTTGGGGGTCGATGCGTTCCCCCCTGAGCCTGTCCCCCCCTCCTGTCGGCGCCCCTGACCCCCCTCCTGCCCTCAGGCCGGGCGTGTCCTCCCACAGGCGGATTCTGGACGAAAAGCTGAAAAACAGCTGGAGCATATGCAAGAATGCTCAAACATAGGGAGCAAGTCGTCTCCAAACTACTTGTTTACGGCAGGTTTGTGTCGTGTCGACCCCGGCGCTGGTTCCTGACACCGCGGGGAGCGTTCAACCTTGAATGACCGGCCGCTTCAGAACTGCAGAATCCTTCCACGATGGGCCGATTCTGGGTCGCCGGCGGCGTTCAAGTTGAACGCTGGCGGCGGGGTCGCCGCCGGTCGACACGACGCGAACCCACCGTAGGAACATTCCTCCTATGTAGGGACGTGCCCGACTTCATCCGACCCCAGGGCCTAGCTGTTATCTGGCCATCACTCGGGCGCCCCCCTCAGGCGGCCCTCGACGGGGCGCCGCCGCTCGACGGCTTCCCCAGGCTGAAAAAAAAGCGCGCCGAGAACCGCCGCCGTGCCCTGCGCTGATGCTTCTCCTGTCTGCTCCTCCCTCCTCCTCCCTCTCTCCCCCTACCTTTCCCTCCCTCTCCTCCGCCTCCTCCTCCTCCTCCTCCTCCTCCTCCTCCTCCCTCTCCCTCTCCCTCTCCCTCTCACTGTCCGTCTCCGTCTCCGTCTCCGTCATATTCTCCGTCTCCCTCTCCGTCTCCCTCTCCCTCTCCCTCCTCCTCCTCCTCCTCCTCCTCCTCCTCCTCTTTTCCTCCTCCTCTTTTCCTCCTCCTCCTCCTCCCGCTCGTGCAAAAAAAAACCTGCGACGTGTCCAATCCAGCTGCGACAAATGATCACAGCAGCGAGCCCACTCCCCGGGAGCCCACCAAAGTAGCGGCAGTTGCGCAGGTGACAACTTTCCAATAGGGAAGTCTGGAGGTAGGAGGTACACGGTAGGAGGAGGCGGCGGATGATGAGGAGGAGGAGGAGGACCAGTGTAAACTCAAGAGTCATCAACGCTGTTGGAATGAACCCTCCCCCAAGCTCTTCGTAGGCCCCTACAACGGATCATCTCCATTAAGGGAGCTGCCTCGTTGGAAGACAACCGTTAAAACCCTGAAACATTCCAAAACATGGTTCTCGGGACTCCAGCGCCACGGATCAACTTGACTGCTGCGTCTTGACGATCCTGAATCGTGCCAGAAAACCAATTTGGGACTTCAACACCGCGAACCAACATAACTGTTGCACCCGCATGTCCTGCATCCTTCCAAAGCACCATTCCTGGTACGTTGGTCATGGGAACCCGTGAGACTTTCAAGGTTTTAGAACGAATGTGCGCGGCGTCTAAGCAAGAACCACAATTTGAAAACGACCCGCTCTCAATCCGTGACACTCGTGCAACATGTTTGAAACGAATGTGCGCGGCGCTAAGACGAGAACCACATTTTGAAAACGACCCGTCCTCAACCCGTGACACTCTTGCAAAAATTTGAAACGAACGCGCGCGGCGCTAACACGAGAACCACATTTTGAAATCCACCCGCCCTGAATCCGTGAAGATCCTGCAACATGTCAAGACGAATGGACGCTTAAGCGAGAACCGCATTTTGAAAACGACCCGCCTTCAATCCGTGAACCTGTTGCAAATTTATAAAAAGCGAATGTGCGCGGCGTTAAGGCGAGAGCCACATTTGAAAACCACCCGCCCTTAATCCGCGCAACTCTTGCAACATGTTTGAAACGAATGTGAAACGAATGTGCGCGGCGCGAAAGAGAGAACCACATTTTGAAAACGACCCGCCCTCGATCCGTGAACCTTTCAAATATATAAAATCGAATATGCGCGGCGCTAAGGCGAGAACCACATTTAAAAACCACCCGCCCTTAATCCGCGCAACTCTTGCAACATGTTTGAAACGAATGTGCGCGGCGCGAAAGAGAGAACCACATTTTGAAAACGACCCGCCCTCGATCCGTGAACCTTTCAAATATATAAAATCGAATATGCGCGGCGCTAAGGCGAGAACCATTATTTTGTAAACCACCAGCCTCATCCGTGCCGACCACAAGAGCTATGTTGAAAACGAATGTGCGCGGCAGGTTTAGGCGAGAGCCATTTTTCTTTGAAAACACCCGCCCTCCATGTGATGCTGTTGTACTTTTGAAGCTTCGGAATCATGAATGGTGAGGAAGCCTCAGGCGAAACGCACCGGCACGCTCTAAAAACTGGCCTCGGGGTTGCGACAGGGGAAATTATTCATAGGGGCTAAGAGAAAGGAGGCGGAGGGGAGGAGAAGGGAGTGGATGGAGAGAAGTACCGAAGCGGGGGCTTGGGTGGTGGCGAAAGGAAGCCTGGCCCGCGGCCGACTGAGCCTTGCAGTAGGCCCCGGCCGGCGCAACTCCTCCCCCCTCGGACCGTCTGCTTGGTGACAGGCGCTACTGGCAGGCACTAGGCACTAGGCATCGGCTGCTCTGGGGCGGAGCCAGTAGTGACGCGCACTGCGGTGCTGCACCCCACAGTCTCAGCGCTTTTGGGGGTAGTTGGGTTTGCCAGATGGGGGGGTGAGAAGGAGACGCGCGAACAATACCCTACTCCCAGATCGCAGATCTCTTGATTTTCCAATGCTTGTGGACGCCCCGAGTTTTCCGGGTCGCTCGGGTCCGGCGGTAACTCGGGTTTGGATTCCCGAAAAAAAAACGAACCCGAGTTATCCCTGACCCGAGTTACCCCTGATGATTCGGGGCTCTGGACGCCCGAGTTATCCGGGGTAACTCGGGTCCGGGGTAACTCGGGTTCGGATTCCCGAAAAACGAACCCGATTTATCCCTGACCCGAGTTACCCCTGATGATTCGGGGCTCTGAAATGCGGGGTCCCGGGTAGTCTCGACCCACTCCTGGGGACTTGCGTTCTCGTCCCGAGTCCGTGCTCGAACGTCTTGGAGAGCCCGGCGGGGGCCTCCAGAGGCCGAAGACGGCGAAACCCCGCCGTCTTTTTTTTGCCATGCGCTGGATCTCTGGGGGAGGTGGGGAGGCGCGAGCATGGGACGCACATGGACATACTAATACTATATGTCCTCCTTGGAGGCGCGCGTCCGACCCGAACATATAGTATACCCATCTTGTAGTATATCGTTTCCCGAGCGGTGTGGCCAGAAAGCGCTCGCCACGACGCATATACTATAAGATTTCTCGGTGCGCGCGTCGCCCCTGGGGGGGCGACGCACATATAGTATAAGTATGTTGGGGTGTTGCCGAGAGCAGTGCTCTATTCTTGGCGGCGCGCACGAGGGGGTAGGGGGAGGGGGGAAGCTTCTTAGAAAGAGGCTGCTGCTCAGGAGGCGCCGGCCCTGCATCTATAGAAAAGGCCCGCGCACTCCAAAAAGCAACCTCCTTCTCAGAAGCCTTCCCCCTTCTCCCTACCCCCTCTGCGCATGGCCGATCGTCCTCATCCTCCTCATCCTCCTACTTCTCCTCCGCGCGAACGGAGGAGAAGTAGGAGGGCCCAGTGCGGGAGGGCTTTACAGGGGGCCAAAGACACACAAACAAATACACACAAATCCCACATGTTTTCTTGATTTTCGTCTTCCCCCACGCTTCCCATGTTTTCCTGGGGGTGTTTTTTCCTCTCCTGAGGCTTGCCAGACGAGGGTCGGTCTCCTCCAGCGCCGACAGGCGGCCGCGGACGTGCTGCCGCCTCGGCTGGCCGGGCCAGGCGGAGGGGTTGGGGCAGCGGAGGGAAGATGGCAAGCGACTCCTCGATCTTCGACCCTCCTCCTCGATCCTCCTCGATTCTCGACCCTCCTCCTTGATCGTCGACACTCCTCCTCGGTCCTCGACCCCCCTCCTCGGTCCTCGACCCTCCTCCGCCCCCCTCCCCCCCACGGGGCAGCCCAGCCCACTTTTGAGATGGAGTCCCATGCGGGCAACGAAAAAGAAGGGGTCTTACGCGAGGTGGCACAGCGACCTTACGTGGTACTTGCGCGGGCCGCCAGCGCGGCACGCAACACTGGAAACGAGAGCACTAACGCGCGACCTTACCCGGGCAGCCTGCGCGCAAACCGCCGGTGAAAACGGCCATGCCTTTTCTGTGTCGCTCCGCTGGAGGCAGAGGTCGGAGGTGGGCGCTGGTTTTGAGAATTCGGGGATCTACTGACCCGGGTCAATCCAGACCTGGGTAAACCAAGCTGTGCAGGATCCTGCAAGATCCTTCAGGATCCGGGCACCCAAGCCTGGGTCAATGCAGCAACCCTGGCTCTGCAAAATCCTGCCCGATCCGGCGCTCTGACTGACACCCGTTTGCACTGAACCCCCGTATCTTGAGCCCCGAATTTCTACGGCGTTCTTCGCGCCGGCTCGATCTGTGATGGTCCTTGGCCCTGAAGCCGGGCGAAGGCGCCTGGTGTGGGACAAAAACTGCGCAGCTTGGATCTCGATCAGAGAACCTCGGTCCATGTACCTCTGAGCCCCGAATCCCTGACACCCCAAAAGCTCGACTTGTTGGACGGGCTGGTTGGCGCGGGTGTCCCGGCGACGCGGGGGGGGGGGGGGGGGGCAAAAAGGCGAGGGCGCTTCGGGGGGACGAGTCGTCGATCCCAACCACGGGCCTTCTAGCTCCCTGCGGCACGACATGGATGCGGCATGTCGTCTTCGGTCCTCCTGGGACGCCCTTCCTGGCTCATTGAGCCAGGAGGCCCGCGCAGGGAGGAAGGACGAGGAGGAAGAGGAGGCTGCTTGTCGAGGGGGAAGAGGAGGCTGCTTGCTCCGCCTGCTTCCTGCTCCTCCACCCTCCTCATGCTGCTCATCCACCCTCCTCTTCCTCGTCAACCTCCTCCTCCTCCTCCTTATCCCCCGCTCCATCCCGACGACAACTACTTACCACGACGACGACCAAACCGACGACCTCGACAACCCGCACGACAACGATGACGACGACCGGAACGACAACGACGAGGACCACGATGAAGACCACGACGAAGACGATCACGATCGCGACCCTCCTCCTCCTTCTTATTCCTCCTTCACCCTCTCCCAACGACACTCAGTACCACGACAACGAAATAGACGACGGCCACGACCAACCGCACGACCACGACGCCGACGATCGCGACGAGGACCACAACGCGACGACGACGACGACGACGAACGACGACGAAACCCGATAAGGACGACGAGGACGAGGACAACGAGGACGAGGATGACGAGGATGACGAGGACGAAGACGACGAGGACGAAAGATGACGAGGACGGCGAGGACGCGGACGACGACTCGATCGCGGCCCGCCAGTGGCCGACAAGCGGCTGACCAGCGGCCGGGCGGGCGGCGATCGCGCGGGCGCGGGTGATTGTTGGCCGCCGAGTCGGGCGACGGGGGGCAAGGCAGGATCAGAAGGGGGCAGGACCGCCACGAGAGGAGCTACACTGAAAAGCTGCCACTCAGAAGAAGCACTCCCCGATGAGAAGTACCAGAAGTATCCCTAACCCTTGGGGAGGGGACCTGAGGGGGCCAAAAACACTAGCGATAGGGGGTCTTTTCTTCAGATGTATCAGACCAAACCGCCCATATTGATTCTCCCTAATGCGAAGTCGGGGACCTAAGTGAGGTCGCGTCTGTATCGTAATATTGGGGTTAGGGGCTCTCTGGTTCTCAATAATCCGAGGCCGCGCGGAAGAAAGCGAGAGCATGAACACCATGGCTGAACGAGGAAACAACTGCAGGAAGAGGTGAGGCCACGCCAAGACTCAGAACAGCACAGACAATGAAAAGAAACATGTGGTGCTGAAGGCTTCTTAGATGGGGTCCGAGTGTGTAGATGAGGTCGAAGGATCGCGCCGCATCGCCAATGCATCGGCGATGCATCGGCGACGCCAGTGACGCATCGGCGACGTCGGCGTGGGGAAACACGGGCTCCACATCGGAGCTGCATCGCCGATGCATCGGCGATGCGGAGCGATCCTCCGTCCCCATCTACGAGGCTTAGAGGTGCACACGAACGGTTTGGTCAACCTGACAGGGGTGCGGTTCGGAGGGGGAGACTGGACTGGACACTTCGGACGGACACGAAAAATCTTGAGGCTGGGATCCGAAACCGTGCTTTTTTTCAATGCGGGGCCCCTTGAAAAATCACCCCCTTCCCCAGAACGAACTTCGCATCCGGAG